CTGCGATGAGTGTTACAGCAACATGCTGGGAAATCAATGCACTGAGCAGTGGTGCCTCGGCGGGAGGAGGAGCAGCAGTCACGGGGGCTGGGATTCAAGCACCGAGACCTGAGTGAAACGGAACAGGTGGTGAAACCTCCAGCCTTGGTGTTCAGCAGGAGAGGAGATGTGGATGCCTGAGCCTCACTCTCCTTTTCTTTGCTCGCTTTCCCACCTATCAATAGGCGTAATGTAATGTAATGTAAAGTAATGTAATATAATACTTCCAAGACTGGGAAAAAAAAGACATCTTCTCTATCCAGATGGAGTTTTCTTTGGAGCCTACGAAGGCAGGTTTGCAGGAGTACTGCTTTGGCCCAGAGCTGTGCATTAGATTGGCAGACGTGGGAGAAGTGAGGACCAGCAGCAGGGCCTACTCCTGGTTCCTGCCCATCCCCCTGCCAGATGTCCTGTCCCATTCTGATATCCAGGGACCAGGAATGCTAGTGGGCAGCTCTCCATCCCATTCAAGGCAATGGTTCCTACTGAAGGTCCAAAAGCATTCCCCTGCAACAAAAGCATTACCCCCTCCTCTCCCTCCTGTGGCATGGCTCAGCCCCGCTGTCTGTGTTTGCATGTGAGGAAACTGAGGCTGAGGGAAGAGCGCGAGGATGACCTGGCTTCCTTTCTCCATGTCCAGTTTCCAACCATCCTCTCCTGGCTGGTTGTTATGCAGTTGTTAGTCACTGTGTGAGAACTAGAAATGCGTCCGTAGCAGGTAAAAATGGTGCTGTCGCTAAAAAACCTCAGGTGTCATACTTGGTTGTGTTTGTTTATGAGGGGGCAAGGAGGGCTAATGGGGCATGGCAGCAAGGCTTTTGTCCTTCTGTGTCTGTGGTTTGAATTGATGCGATATCAATAGTTCCCAAGTCCCTGCAGTGATCGTGCAAGGCATGACCACCACCACTCACTGGTCCTCTTGTTAGCCACCTCGGAGATGTCAAGAAATTAAACCTGAAACTGTAAGGACAAGCAAAATTAATGGATCACAAATCGCTTATTAGCTTTCACTGATGCTGATGGTAATGCTTTCAATAAGCCTAATGAGAAGTGTTTGACTGTCTCTGTGAACTTGATTATTGATTATTAGTGAACGATAAGAGTCATTTGATATCTTGCTGATGCCATGCTCCTATTGCTTTGCAGTTAAAATGTCAGTTAACATGCCATTTAATATTCTATTAGTATTGAATTAGCACTTATTACACTGTGAAAATCATCACCATAAATCCTTATTAAAGCGTGATCCATACAGCTGGGTGGCATCTCTGGCAGACTAAGAAGGTACGTGTGGGCAGACAGACGTACTGAGATGCATCATCCACATAGATGTATGTTCAGAGCATGTCGGGACTGGGAATTTTCACATTTGTATGTTGATTTTCCCTGACAGGAACATGAATTTCCCTGAGAGGAACATGTATGGTGAACAGAGAGCTCAAATCCACTTCACTTATGTTTCCCATTTTCCTCCTTTCTTTCTGCCCTTCCCTCCTTTTTCTATTTTGGTAGCACTTGCTAACTTATTTCACGGGCATTTGCAAGGTTTTCTGACTATAGCTATTGACCACCGTCTAGGGCTGACCTTGATGGGTGTAGGACATGTTTTCTCTTCAAAAGAGAGGAGGGAGGGTCCCCAGGTGAGCATACCCTCAGAAGCGAGAGGACAAGGCTTTGCTCTGACCATGGCACTGAGCTATTACTGACATGAGGCATATGACAGGGCCATCTTTGCTGCCTCCAAAGAGAGTTTTATAATGACTAAGTGCAGGACAGAGCCATGGAGGGCTGCGCTACAGGTTTGGAAAGCAGCCTGGCAGGACTGGTGCAGTGCCCTGGATCTGCTGGAGCCCAGCAGCACATACAGGTGTTCTGGAGGATTTTCAGAAGTGACAGAATCTTCAGCTCCCACTGACTTCAGCTGTTAAACTGCTTAGCTTTTCACCACCAAAAGACCTAACTCTTGATTCTTGGTGCTGTTACGACTCTACACAGAAACGCATGTGCAAGAGGGCTTGTGACCCTTAGACAGCCCGCTCTGGAGGCAGTCTGGATGTTCCTACAGGGCTGCTGCTCCCAGACCTGGGGCACACTGCCCTCCTTGGGTCCTTGCTTTCACCTCCTGTCAATGCTGATTACAGCCTGGGACAGCCAATGCAACTGGAGTCATGCCCCATTGTAGTAGTACTGTTTTCTACATGTAAGTGGCTGCTCATGGATTCCCCTGCCTCTTTCTATTTGACAAAAAGCAGCTTTTTAAAAACAACTGAGATCACACCTGAGAGCTCACCTCAGGGGCAAGTGCCTGCCTGGCTGGGAGGGTGGGCTCTGGCCTGAGGGCCAGAGACCCTCTTCCCGTCCTTGGTTGGATAGCGGTAGTAAGGGACAGGATCTGTTGGGCTGCTCTCTAAAGCAAATGTTTGTTGGATCAGACAGAGCTGCTTACAGCTTGGCCAGCAGTGTGGTGAGCCTCTCATCGATGCTCACACAGCTTGGCTTTCCTCCTGCCCACAAGTAACCCCAGAACAACTTGGACACAGCATCCATGGACATGCCAAAAGGGAGTGGGTGAGAGGTGCCGGCCGTAATGGTAGGGTCACATCACAAGGGATGGCAGCTGCAGCACAGCATGAATGAAATGCATTCAAATAGAGGAACTTGGAAAATGTCTGACCAATACTAAAAGGCTGTATGAAAGCCTACTGTCAAATATTTGTCTTATCTTGAAGCAATAATCTTAATCCTCTCTCTTTTCTCTTTCAAATACATCACATGCATGAATAGTGAGTGAATAGGACACAATCCTGTGCAATGTGATGTAGAAGACTCTGCTTGAGCAAGAAAGTTTGACCAGATGACCTCACTGTGGTCCTTTCCAACCTTACCCATTCCGTGATTTTGTAGCAGTGGTGGGGAGAGGTGCTGGCTTATTTGGATGCTGCGACACTGTGGGCAAAGCTTTGAGAGGTGAAGGAGCAACACCTCTGGAGACTGAGCTTCCCCATTTATCCACAAAACAAATGAGGTGTGAGCTGCTGCAGGGCAAACCCTCTCAATCTATCTGGGCCCACCCTGATGGGTACAGCTGCCAGGAGGAAAGAGGAGTTATGTCTCTGTGTCTTCTTCAGCCCTGGTCCTCTTGAATAAGACACAGCTGAGAGTGAGCAGAACATGCCTTGTCATTGGCATCTCCTGATCTCTTCTGTGCAAGTTTTCTGGTGGTGGGAAGTGATGCAGAGCAGGTGCCTTTGCCAAAAGTGTATTTATCTTCGCAGCACCTTGTCCGCTTTGTCAAGAAACAAAATACTTCTCATGCAGTTGCAACAGGGTTAGTCAGTCCTCTGCCTTGTGATGGTTGGCAGTTGGGGCAGTTGGTTGCTGCTCCTCCTGCTGCTCCTCTGCATGCCACCCCTAGCTGTCATTCCTCCTCTCCTGTCCACCTGAGATCTTCACAGGATGTGCTGCGTGTCTCATAGGGATGGCAGTGACATCCTGCAGCCTCTCTTTTTCAGCCTGAGATCTGCACTTGCCTGCACAAGCAGGCAGATGTGCATCAGCAGGGAAGGGGGTGTGTGTGTGTGTATGTGTTAGAAGAGTAAAGTTTGAGCAGTGAATCCCTCTTTCCAGAAACCTATTTTTGGTCAGAGGGATGTAGAAGGGAGATATGCTATAGTTCTCTCCCCCTGTGCTGCTGAAACTGAGGGATGGAGGAGCTGTGCCCTAGCTGACAAAGCTGGAGCCCTGAACCTTTGCCCTCCAGGCTGGAAGAAGTCTGGGAGTGTAACTCTCTTGTATACTCAACTTTTGAAGGTGAGGGAAAAGCATAGGAAGAAGTACTTCTCACCTTTCCCATTTCAGGGTTAGAAGGGATTTGGTGATCAAGATCTCTTTTGGCCTTCCAAAGTAACTTTTGGTGCAGGTATAAAGAAGAGAGAACAGGAGACATGACCACCTCAAATCCCATGGTTTCATTAACCAAAAGTTCCTGAAGCCCTTAAAAAACCATTGTGAAATACATGTCCATGGGACAGCAATGATGAGAAGATGCTGTGGCTCACTGACAAGGCAGGAATGTGCTATGAAATTTCTAAGCAAAGTAGTAAAGGGGAGGGACAAAAAGAAGATGATGGAGAGGGTTGTTGATCTCCCGCTCACCTTTCTCATCCTCTGCAGGTGTTATGTAGAAGACAGAAGCTCCAAGGTGGCCTGGTTAAACCGTTCCGGCATCATTTTTGCTGGAGAGGACAAGTGGTCCCTGGACCCTCGAGTAGAGCTGGAGAAGAGAAACCCCCTGGAATACAGCCTGCGGATCCAGAAAGTGGATGTCTATGATGAGGGGTCCTATACGTGTTCAGTGCAAACACAGCATCACCCCAAGACTGCCCAGGTTTACTTGATCGTGCAAGGTAAGCAACATACCTGTTAAGAGAGCAAAGAGCAAAATAAACAGTGAGTGGGGGGATCTGTATCTTTCTTAGAGAAACTCCAGCCTGTGTATCCCTTATGTTTACAACAGGAGCCAGCAGGACTGTCCCCTTCCACTGCAGCACAGCATGGCTTTACTCTGCTGTCAGTTTGTCCTTTTAAAAGTGGTGACAGAGCAGGGGACACCAGTGATGCCAAGACATATTCTAGTATAATGCAAACCTGGCTCCTTGCTCAGGTTGCTTTGGCACCGAGGGGAAAGCATTTGTTCATAATGACACTTGTCAGAACATTGTGCTTGCTTCATCTCTTCCCAGACAACCCTCTGGTTTCTTCGCCTCCTCCTTCCTCCTCAGGTTTCCTTTCTTTTTTCTTGTGTCAACAAGCTACTGTGCTGTGTTTTTTGGCCCTCCATTGTCAACTCTTTGCAAGGCTGGGGAATTAATTTTTCTGGGTGTTTTTCTGTGCTGGGTCATTGGTTTGCAGGGTGTGCTGTCACTAGGCATGTGTGAAACCTGATACCTGAGATAGCTGCCATGTACCTTATGTTGCCCTCTCCTTTTTTAGCTGCCCTCCTCCTCTGTGGGTTGTAGGGAACTGGAAACTTGGCAAACCAGCACTGTCCTATCTGTCTGCCTGCATTTATGGTATAACAGACAGTAAACACATTAAAGGGTTCACCAATTACTGGTAAGGGCATTAGTGAGTTTACTTGTTCCATCCTGTCCTGACCAGAATACCAAACAAGTGAGTTTACTCAGTTTTCTTTTGTTTTTCTTTTGATATTCAGGCCACTGTGTCTATCTGTCCATTTATCTAAAATATTTATAGAGCAGCTTAGGTGATGGGTATGTATAAATGCATTTGATACATATTACAGATATGTTCGATTTCTACATTATCTTTCAGGCTGGGGTTTGTTATTTCTCCTGATTTGTCTAGTAACCCATAAGGCTGTAGATTTTATTCCTCTCAGCAAGTTTTCTAATTGCTCTAGATATAAATGCATGCACAAAGGGACTTTTCCTCTTGCTGGTACTACTTGGCAAACCGGGGGGCTAACTAGCTTACCAAGTGTTTATCTGCAAGGTGAAGAAGTCCAGACATATGGTCAGAGGTGATGCTTTACACACAAGTGTAGTGAGATGGAGGGCTCCCTGTTTGCCTTGCACAAAATCCTCCCCCAGCAGCATGAAGAGCGGCACACACCAGCACACAGAGCAGCTCTCCCGGCCTGGCCGAGTGTTCGCTGGAGTGTGCCTGGTGTGAAATGCACTCAGCAGCCCTGGAGCTGTACCCCGCCTCGCTGCTCGCTGTAGCAGTGCATAGCTAACCGTCTGGAGGTGGTTTATTGCTGGTAAAATCTCGCAGTGCACAATTTCCATTTACCTGTCAAGAAAAATATAGGGATAAATGAATTTTAGAGCCATGCACATGTATTATTAATTTTATTTGTGCCTATTAGGTATGGGCCTAAGCAGCAAAATTGAGTTCTCTAGCTTAGCTTTCACCTAATAGTTATCCGGCTCTGAACTACTGCCACCTTTCTGAGAATGAGAAAATTTAAGTTTTGACACACCTAAACTCTGGATGCCCGTAAACAAGGTATCTGTGGGTAATCATGTTCTAATACCTGCTACAGATTTAGCCAAAGGCCTGTTGTGATATCGCGCTTACTGTAATCCTGTAATTAGGTGAAATTCATAGCTTTAATTTTCTAAAACTAAATTTCATCTGAAAAAAAACAAGCAAAATATAAATAAAAAATCCTTTACAAATTGGAAGAGTTAGTCTCATTTTAAACCATGTTTTAAAAATAATCTTAACTAATAAAACTAATTTATTAGAAAAAAATATGTTAGAATCCCTTTTGTCTCTGAGTATCATATAGTCATATTGATTGCTATTTTTCTCAGATTTGCAGGTTGTCTGCCTGAAAAACAGTCTGCTGTTAGTACAAATTAAAGGAGTTTGGATATTGAGTCATGCTAAGCTTGTTATTTATTTAATGTAGTTTATTTACTTCTTGTGGTTTTGTGTTCATAAATTTCAAAATGTAGGCTATATAAAGCTCTGGGCATCCCAAATGTAAAAATAATTAAAAAAAGAAAATACAGCTTCGGAAACATTAAATGACAGGGTGGTCAACTGATCTGCCTGCTAATCTGTGAAGAGAATTTCTGGAATGATGGTCAGTGATTCCCTTCAAAAAAGCCCAGGGAAACAGAAACAAGCCAGGGTCAGAGACACCTTGCTGTTTTTGTGCACACAGTTGATGCCTGGATTAGCCAGTGAAAGATACTGCAATGATAGTTGCTCATGCCCTGGAAACAATAGGCTGTTTTAGGGCCATGCCCAGGCTTCCTGTTCTGCTCACTCAGCACTGTCATGGATTTTTCTGATCCCCTCTGCACTGTATCCTAAAGACAAGTCCTTTATCTCCCCTGGTTCAACTCTCTCATCTGTCTATCCCCTGTGGAAACCCAGCCTCTATTACCCCTAGAAATAATTGGGATAGCTATACAAGAGACTAAGAAATGAGTAGGCAGATACTAGAGGGCTGTTGGAGCCCTTATAACTAGAGACCACTCCATGTCCACAATGCCAGCTGAAATAGATGGGCTTCAGTGTATCCTGAAGATACACTGCATTTAGGTCACTGCAGTCTAATGGAGTTGCCTTCTAGGAGCAGGTCCTTTCCTTCCTTGAGAAAATCAGCTTTCTCCAGGGTGAGCTCTACTTGGTAACCTCTGCTGGCCAGAGATGTAGAAGTATATCACAGAAAGAGGGACATCACCTCTCTAATGTGTGTGCCTGTGCCCTCCAGTATTTCCAAGGGAAGAGCCATTTCTGGTTTGTCAGCCAGCACCAGTCTCTATATAAAAGCCTACTCAGTCTGCTCCTTTCCTCTCTTAAGTGTTTATATCCACCGACAGTATCCTTCTCAACTGGGGCGTATTGCAGACGTCTAAAAGGACATAATTAAACAACACTTAAAAAAAAAAATCAGAACTTCATGGACAGCTAAAAGTAGAAAGAGTTTTCTTCATAGGTCTTTCCTGCTTTTCAAACATAAAGCCAACTCTGCTGGTAGAAGGAGGCATTCACTGCCAAAAGATTCGTCAGTGCAACTGTGGCCATCTCTTCTGTCTTTCTGACCCAGGTGGGCAGCACTGCTTGCAAGGTGGATTGCACTGGAGCGAGCTGTGTCTGCCCAGCTCAGTTTTTATGATGCTGGTGCTGCACTCCCTGCACTGGAATGTAGAAATGAAGAGAATGCTCTGAACCACCACCTCACTCAAAGCATTTTGTGCTGTTTCAATTGGAGTGTAATGGCCACTAGCAAATCTTTCTGTTTCCTACCCCAGATATTTCCGTTGGTGTCTGATCAGAAAAGTAAACATTTGGAAAGACTTGCAAAAGATGGTCTGGTCCCTCCCTATGCAGTGAGACAAGACCAGCTCTACAGTGGTTGCCCCTAACATGTATTTTTTGAAGACACCCTGTGCCTGCATAGCTGGTGCACGTCCATTATTCACTCTCCTTGCATTTGAAAAGCCTTTAGTAATGTATGATTCAAATTGATTTTGCTGCCAATTATTTCTGGTCCTTCCAAGATATGTGGGGGTTATTTCTCCTCCTCTTCCTCAGAACTACCTTTTATCTGCCTGAAACCCATTAATTCCTGTGTCTCAGATGCCTCTAGTCCAGCTTAACAGGCTCATTGTTTCTCACAGGTCCTATTTTCCAATCTTTGTGTCATATATATTTCACTACTGTTTGATTTGTCTACATGTTTTCTTAAATTTACTGTCCAAACTCAAGAAAGGAGTTCCAGTTCAGGATTCAGTCATGCAGATACAAATACCAGCCATGTTTTCCCTATCACACTTCACTTACCTAACCCCAGAATGAATGAGATTTACCTTTTCTTTTATAAGAGTGCCTCATTACTTTCACTTAGTCTCTCTGCAGCTTTCTAACCCTCTCTTACTGGTCTGCAGCACAGTCTGCATCTCATTCTCCACTTCTGTATTTGAACATTAATTGTTTTTCCTCCCTTCCTGAGCACAGTGCTTTGTGCTCGCTGTTGCTGGATGCCATCTGGTTGGTTTCTCCATGGAGACCGCTTCTTCAATTTACTTATGATCCTGGTCTCCAAAGCACTTGCAACTGCCCCCAACTTGGTGTCATCGACAAAAGTCAGGTGACTCCTTTCTGTTCCTTCATGAAGGTGTTAATTAAAGTATTCAAGAGATCAGGACACAAAAGCAGACTGTGATAGGAGCCCACAAAAACCTCCGTCCCTAGTGGATAACGATCTGTTGATTGCTGCTCTTTGAAGCATCCTGATGGTGATTTAACATCCACCATATTCTTGTAGCTTGTTGAAGACTGTCAGGTCTTCTGAAGTCAAGATATATCTCATAATCACACATACTGCTCCTGCATTATCTGCTATGCCAGATATCCTACAGAAAAGGGAAATGAGGCTGGGGTAGCATGATATGTGCTTGCCAAAAGTAAATTGCTTATTTTTTCTTTCACTCTGTTATTATCCTCTCAGTGCTTATAAATGGGATGTTTAATTATTTGTTCCAGTATGTTGAGTGACTTGTTCCAACAAGGACACAGTGACTGCCCCTTTCCCAGCATTACCTTGGCTTCTTGTTCTTTTAGGGCGATATCCTCATGCCCTTCTCAGGCATTAAATATCAATAGAGAAATCTCTATAGTCCTTACTTATCTCATCAGGGTCACAGACACAAAGGCACAGAGGTTTTAGCATGCATAGGGTTTAAAAGTCCTGCAATAAAGAGATAGGCCTGTCCAAGTCAATCTAAAGGAATAACTCTATTAGGAGGAAGCAGATGGTTGCTATATTTGCTGTCCAGAGCCTTTACAGCTAGGCATCATTGTGAATGGAGGTGTTTGGGAACTTTTCAATGAAACAAAAACATTCCACTGTTTTTGACTTTTAAGTTTTAATTTAATCAGGAAGGTTTTAAAGGTCTGAGGTACTTTTTCTAGTCAAATTTGGGAAGACAAAAAGGTATAGCATTGCCACAGCCTATCTAAAAAATAGAGCATTCAGTTGAGGTATGAAGAACTCATGTTCACATTTTTGCTCAGAGGCTGGGACTCCTGCAGACTCACTAACATTTCTTGTGATTCCCCGTTACTGGCTGTTCAAACATGTGGGCTCTCCCTTGGTTTAATGTTTATTTCATGAAAAAAAAATAAATGAAAAGGCTTTGTCATTTTTGCAAAACAAAAACAAATTTAGAAAATGTCAGCAGCAAATGTTCACTAAGAGGAATGCTTATTTACTGTCCTGTCTTAATCACAAACCTAAAGTCAAATGCATAGCAGCTAAGGCCAAATCCTACAATTTTCTTTCTAACTGATAGGCATTAATGTGTGATAAAAAGCACAGAATGTAGCCTTTCTCCATTATGAATTGCCTTTGTAGAGCTCCTTGCTTGCAAAGATTCAGACTCACTAGTCATTGTTACAAAGTGGTATAAGGATGTATTTGTTGCTGCTGGGATTTAACCATAGAAAAATTATTAATAACTCCGTGAGTAGAATTGCTGTGCCTCCTCTCAGTCCACTCTCCTGAAATTAAAGAACTTTGTGCTGGTGACTGGCACAGCACAGCAGAGAGAGATCCTTTAGCCAGAAAGGCAGCTGAACCAGTCTGGCTTCCCCAGTGTGTGAACTGCTCTGCCAGTGTGCCCCTTGGTAAGAGCTGGGTCTAGGGCTGAGGAGGGAGGGTGCTGTCCACCATCCCTGGAGGTTTTTGAAAGATGTGTAAATGTGGCTCTTAGGCACATGCCTTAGTGGTGGACTTGGCAGTGCTGGGTTAAAGATTGGACTCTTTGATCTTAGAGAGCTTTTCTGACCTAAACAGTTCTGTCATTCTATGATCTGCCCAGACCTTGCCTTCATTTCTGAGGACAGCAATGGGGAAAGATGATGGTTTAGACTTAAAGACTGTAGGGAAGGTCTCTGATCAGAACTGAAGCAAGGCACATGAGTGTGTATTCTAGGAGCCTGAAGTGGTGGTAACTTCTGCTGATCACCAGCCTGGGTCCTGAGCCAATGAGCCAGAGTGGGGGGGGTCTTCCGATCAAATGTAGATGTGACCATTGCAGTGGTTTATCTTGTACTCCCTTTGTCATTAGTGAGGAGACAAGACTCTTCTCAGGCACAGCCCAGTTCATCCTTAAGTAGCCATCCAGAATTCATCAGATGAATTGACCAATGGAAATGTGATTGTCCCTCCCCTGGCTGTAGCAGGAAGCCCAGGGGTGAGCAGTCCATTTGGTGCCGTGAATACTCTTAGCCTTTCCACACCTCTTTCAGTCAATCTTCACTGGAGTTTATTCCCTGCCAGAATATGTCATTGGTGGTTGTCAGGACTTGCAGGAGGTTGCTGGGAGACTGGAGCCAGGCTGGTCTTGAGCTTAGCAGATCTATGGTGGGAGCCCATTACCCCTGGCATGCCTGGCCTTCCCACCTCTTCGGCCAGCACTAGAAGCGGAGTGGTTTGAAGAGATTTTTCCTTTGCTAGCTAGACAGTAAGTATGTTGGAGTCAGATGCTGTTCTCTGAGAGATTTTGACTTCCCCACTTTATGGGTGCAGAGCCCAGAACTCAGAGGGATCTTTCTGAGCACTAACACTGTAGTGTTTTTCATTCCAGGGAGTATGCAGTAGGTAAGAACAAGCACAGGCCACTTTGTCTTTTTCAGGACATAGCCCCAATGGGAAAATAACAGCATATTTGGCATGCTGTTGCAAACAATAATGAGGTGACATGGGAATATGAATTTTCTGGGAAGTAGGAAAAAAACCATCATTTTAGTGGGAATGGTGGGGGAGGAGGAAAAAAAAAAGGTTGGAGGGAGGAGATAAAGTCAGGTTACTACAGGGACTGGAAGAGACAAGTCCAGTATGCTTGGAAGGAAGTGACAACAG